TAGCGTTTTGGATAAAATTTTAACGGTGCAGATTAATTCTGAAAACGCTAACGCTAAAGGCTACCGTCGGATAGCTTTTTCAAAACTCTAACGCTAATCTCTGACGCTGATGCCAAACAGGGCCTAAGTTTTTTGAGTTTAACTCTAAAATTTAAAGACTAATAATTAAAATTTTAAAAAATATATAATCTACCCAAATAAGAATAAATCACAAGACTTATACCAAAATAAGACATCATATAATCCCTATATGTTAACAATTCAGTGTTTTTTATATTGTGTTTTGGCATTATAAAGTCCTTTTTTTAATAAAAACATTGAATATTCACCTTAATATGAGTATTCATCCTTTGATCAAACATAATTTTGTTGCTGCTTTTGACTGGACCCATGCCTCGATTATTGTTAATTAAAATTAGTGAATAAAATCAAAATAGAAATCGCAATGAATGAATAAAACAATGGGCCGCTGATGAATCCTAATTAGCTTTACACAAAAAAGAAATATAATGCAGTTCCAATGATAATACGACAAAGCAATTAAATATGGTCATGTAGATTGCCTTTTTTGTCAAATATAGTTTAGAGTATGAACAATGGCAAGGAAAAAAAAGAATGTCACACGCTGGCATAAATCAACCAATAAAAAATGGTCCAGTCAGAGAGTGACAAGTGAGTGGAGTGGCGTATCCTACAGTGGCAAGTGGTTACTTTTGTCACTTTTAAAAATTTTTGTAATGTATTTTAATTATTAAAAATAATTTTTTCTATTTGTTTCATTAAAAAAATATATACTTCTACTTCCTTACAAAAAAAGTTTTTTTTTATCAAAAAAAATAAATAAAAATAAAAAAAGAAAAAAAAAGAAAAAGAGGCGTGGGATGCCTTGCAAGTGACTTGCTCACCATGGGGGAATGACCTTCTTCTCCATGCTAAGCACGACAAAAAAAATTTGGGAGCTGATGTGGCAAGCGTGGCAGGCATTTGCCTCGCCCGCTGCCACTGCTTTTAAAATAATTAAATATTATAAAAATTTGATATTTCAAAACTATATTTTTAAAATGAAATTAATTTTTATAAATTTACAATATAACTAAATATATTTTTTTTATAATAATTCACGGGTAAAGGGTATCATAGTTTGACCAGAAAGTCAAACTGGTAATCTTTTAGGGACGGATGGAGTAATATACTTTATAGAAATTAGCTTAAATAGGACTAAAATATATTTAAAAAAAGAGCTCTAGGTTTTTATTCCTGAAATAGGAGGGGAGAAAGACCAAAGTAGGACTAGAACATTGAAAATATACCAAAATAGGAATTCGATGTTTTTATTCCCGAAATAGGAGTTAAAATATATTTACATTACTAAACATGATCATATACATGAACAAAAAGTATAGTAATGTGCACATGTATAGTGCCACATTACCACAGTTAGAAGTCCTGTTGCGGGAAAAACATGAAAATCTTGTTTTTGGTACTTTTCTCTATGTTTTAGTCTTATATAGGGTGATTTTTAAAATAGGAGTTCGCATTGTGGTAATGTGTTGTTAATATGACAATCTACATGTGCACATTACTATACTTTTTGGTAATGTAAATGATCATGTTTGATAATGTAAATGCATTTTAACTCATATTTCGAGAATAAAAACATGATAGTTTTATTTTGATTTATTTTTAATGTTTTACTTCTACTTTCGACTTTTTCCCTATACTGTAAACAAACAAACGATAATAAGTAATTAGATACACACAATAATGATAATAATAGTTTAAATAATTATATGTAGATCGATCGAAGTAATAACAAACGAACACGAAGTGTACCAATTCAAAGAAGAAAAAAATACGAGCAGGAAGTGCCAAATAAATATCTTTTTATTAAGTTTACGAATTATTGCAATAAAGAATCATGATGGATATAATATACTCCCTCCGTCTACAAATAAAGTTCTCATTGTGCGTTACGATATTGACTGAAATTATTTTCAAATCATTTTATATGAAAAATGGTATTGAATTAAAAAATTAAAATTACATATTTAAAAACTACATGAAAAGATCTACAAAACTAGTAATGACATGACTATATTATTTTATCAAACAAGACACAAAAATAGGCCAACAAAGTGAATAAAGTTTGACCCTGTGAATAGTGAACGAGAACTTTATTGTTGGACGGAGGGAGTAATAGATACACTATGCTCGGTTCAAAAAGTTTGAAAAGGAAAAAAAATGAGAGGATAAATAATTTTTTTTTTGTTAAAGAGGAAAAGAGAAAAAATAGGACAAAAAATGAGAAAAAAAGTAATAATGCTTAGTCTGGTTCAAAAAATTTGAAAAGAAAAAATAAAATAAAATAAAATAAAATAATTTTCTCTCATTTTTCTCACCAATATAGGAAGAATTTGGTTTTCTTCTCTCTCTTAGTACATTTTTTCGTCTCACTTTCTTTTAAATCTACTTTTTTTTCCTTTTTCTCTCTAACCAAACAAGAAGATTTATTTTTCAATTTATTTTCTTTTCTTTTTCAATTTTTTGAACCAAACATAGTGTAAGAAAAGAAAAGACAATTTTTTCATATTTTTGTGTGAAAAATTAGAAAAAATCATTTTATTTTTTTCTTCTATATTACTTGAACCAAACATAGTGTTAGAAACTTAGAATTGTTTTTTGGTTAGAGTTTTGTTTATAAAAAAATGTAACTGAAATTGGACTACCTATTTTAATGAAAGAGGGAATCTCACCAAGATATTGTTGGATGCAAACTAGTACCACAAGTCCACAAGAGAGGAGAAAGGAAAATAAAACTAAAAAACGGGTTAAAATTCAATCTCTTAATATAAAATTTTTTGGAACAATACTTCCCTGTCCCAAAATAAAATTAATGTTCGGTTTACGATGTTTTACAAAAGTTATTTGTTTAAATTAATATATGTAAAAATTAGTACAGAATTAAGTAATGAAAAATATATATTAAAAAACTACATCAAACATTCTACATAGTACGGACTACAAAATAAGGGATGACAAAGTCATTTCATTTCATCAAATTATCAATAAAAATGTATTAAAAAAATTAAAATTAATTTGATTTGTAAATAGAAGTTTTTTTTAAACGAAGAACTTATCACATTAATACGGAGTACATGATTGAAGTTAACACTTAAATTTTCATACTTCTTCATTTATCATATTTCATCGACCATTTTATGTAATTAGGTTTATTTCAATTAGATGGAAGTTTTAGTCTTCGTCGTTAATTAATTCAACAAAACGGAATGCACAGTTATTTGAAGATATTACAAATTTCATTGCGAGAGCTCAGGGAGTGGCAGACAGTGGCGGAGCCACATTGGGTCAAATGACTGCAGTTGCACCCACTGAAATTGGATAAGTTTATACATATATAGTAGTTTACTTAATATTTGGCTTAGCTGATTTGATTCAAGACCTGGAAATCAGCCACTAGACCCTGAGTTCGAACCCCTCCCCCCTCCTTGTATGATAAATTTTTGATAAACTATTCCTTTATAATTTTTTTATTTATACTTTGACCCCACTCTCCCCAATACCTGGCTCCGCCACTGGTGGCAGACCCAGTTTGAAGGGTCCAAGGGACGGCCGGCCGGCCTCAATAGTGGAATCCGGCTGTTTATATATCATTTATCGAGTTTTCTTCACGTTTATATATCATTCATTCTAACGCAACTACATTATGTTACATTTCTCCTAATTTTCCAACAAAACTCCTACTCGTATTAAACTTAATACGTAAATACAAAACAAGAAGTCCAACAAAACTCCAACTCGTATATATGTACTCTCCGATCTGTCCCAAAATTACCGTTCAATGACCTAGATTAAATTGAAAACCAAGTCAAATATCGTAAAACGAAACCGAACATTTTTCTCAGAGAAAAGAGCATTTCATTATGACCAAGTCCAAGTGGTCGAGGTCTTAATAGCTTAATTTCCAAGGGGAAAATGCAGTGCACTTGCATACAATACAAAGAACCAAAACTTCTCACTAGCTAGACCTCAATGATTTGATGATACTTCTTTATATTCTTTTCTTTGACTTGTGCCTACGTAGAATGTTAATTCAAAGTATGGTTTGCTTTGTAGGAAAAGAAAAATTGCAGAAAAAAGATGTGGAAATTAAACTAAAGTAGAAAGTAAGAAAGAAAAAAAAATGATGCATGGAAATAATCCATTGTGCTCCGATCCGTAATAATTAAAGATATGCACTCCATTTATTCAAACACAAAGGTAAATTTTCCAATCATATTTCTATTTTTTAAGATTCAAATCATAATTTTTGATCTTATTATTAATTGTGGCAATGATTAGGCCATGGACGTGCTCATACAATATTGGTAATTTGGTCTCTTATGTGGATCTAAAGCTACTGCCCATAAATATTAATATAACGTCAAAGATCTTGTTACCCGAGCAAAAAATGTCTCGAGAATGATCTAAACTTTTTAGGGTACCTATGGTGCTCCATTAATAAAATTAATGACTCATATCTCCTAACTTTCTCT